CTTTTTATATGACTGCAAACAATTTAAATCCCTTTTTTCTCATATAGACCTATTCATTTGAAAAAAAGATTAAAATTCCCAGACTATGGTAAAGCAATAAGACTATGCAACTATTTCAATTTCACGCTATTCACATTTAATAAAGTAAGATTCTGCTTTATACCTACCTTCTATTTCTTCATTATCATGACTTAATTTGCATAATGGGCAGATGTGGTGGTCTCGACAAGACCTTTCCCTGCATGATTTCTCATTAATAATCGAAATTTTTGCTACTGAATTCTCTATATAAGTTTGGATATTAATCCAATGTTTTATTGTGAAAATAGGATCAGTCATAAGTTGGATTAGTTATAGGTATTTGTGGATGAGATGTGATTACCTCAGCCATAATCTGATCATTTCCCAAAGGAACGGTGTTCAAAGTCACATGACTCTGATGATCACTAGTAATCATTTTTACTTGATCTATGATATTTTGGATTTGTGAATTAGTTAGTTTTGAAATCTCAGTTACGCTATATGAGATCAGCTTGATTTTGTCTACCCTAACTCCATTTTTTCCAAATAACATGAGGTGTTTTCTAGCCCTAAGAGTTTTCTTGCGCAAGTTATCTTGTGTGATTTTAGTAGGGAGAAATGGTTTCATCTCTTTGTAAATCATTGATCTTGCCATTTTATCTTTGATTCTACCATTAGCAGTAAGTGCATCTACCTTGCTCTCGAATTCAAAGGAATAATTGTATCAGTCTAAGATTTCCTGCTGACCAGACTTTATTGCTGTATCAAATAGATAAGACAAGTGTTAGGCAGAACCCAAAATCATATTCTCTGATCTATTGCAAGAGGAATTAGTATTGGTAGAGCTGATATTGTCTTCAGTGGATGTGGATGAACAGGTGCCAAAGGTACCACACAGCTCTTGTATTAGACCTTGTTCTATAATTTGATTTCTATCTAGTGATTCCTCCGGAATCAGCTCATCATTATTTTGCTTTGTGAGGTCTGGTTCAACTGAAGTCATATGACTCTGATCGTTTCCTGAGGGAACGGTTTTTTCGAACTCTTCCAAAATTTCCGAAATCATCTGATCATCTTTTTCAGAGATGCATGATGAGCTGGAAATCAACAGGTCATGAGCAATTGATTCATGCTGAAGTTTCTCCTCTCGCTTTCTCTGCCTTATTTCATCACTAACCTTTTTCTTATTCACATTATCTAAGAAAGTATCCACTCCCCTTTCCTCTGATGTCTTAGAACTGATAGTTACCTTTGATACTGCTTCATTTATTTTGCAAACAGGCTCAGGTATGTCAACAGATTCTTCAAAAGAGAAATCGTCCATTTCCTTATCCTCTGCATTAAAATTGAAGTTAGATAAACCATTGTTAGGAAAATTATCATTTTGCAACTGCCTTGGTTCCACTTTTGTAACTCGATCTCTAAGCTCAACATTCTCAGACACGAGTTTGGTGATATCTATCTTATTTTTTTCTAACTTCTCAATTCTAACCCTGAGCTCTTTGTTCTCAGCTTTGTATTTGGTGGTCTCTTCTATAACCCGCTTTAGAAGCTCAGAGTTCTTGGCTTCGAGCTCAACTTTCTCAGCCTTAAGCTCAGTAATACGTTGCTTCAATAAATCTATTTCAGATTGCATGTCTGCGTAATATATTATTTATGCTTTGTATAATTAATATTCAAAATTGGTAAAAATATATAGGTTATTTTGATCATTCCCCGAGGGAACAGTTTTTGCCAAGAAAAAAAATCATGTGATTTTCCTAACCCGAGGTCAGCAAAAAATGCCAAGAAATTTTTTTATTAATATATGCGAAAAATAAATACAAATGTTCGGAATGTAGCCCATGATACATGAAATCTATGCTAATTACAGCTAATTATTTTTTTGAATAATAACCCTCTATTCTAACTCTCTTCCTTTCTGGCTCTTCTTCTGCATATGCCCTATCTTTTAACAAACCTACAATAATGCCCAAAACCTTTCTCACGCTCTTGCACAATGACTAGTATTCTTCTGAGTTTGAATCTAAAGCCTTCTTTGTAAATTCGATCGAATATGCAGTATCACTTGTCTTAGATATTTTTTTGGGACTATATAAAAGAAAATGCCAGTCCCGACCTGTTGTGACAATACTATATAGGTAATCAAAATCATCATCACCCTGTTTTCTCTTCCTCTTGTTTGTCTCGCATGCACTCTTAAGCTGTTTGATATTCTGAGCGAAGCCTATGGGAACCTTATGTTGTTTATTCTCTGTGATACAGATAAGGTTTTCAGCCTATTACCTATATATTACATAGTTCATGTTAGTGGAAAGTTAACATAGTCACGAGTGTAGCTGGAATAACAAAAAATTTACCTTTATTGCAAAATCGACCTGGCCTCAGCTTTCTTCACCAACTATTCCATACTGTTAATACATGCTAAGTTCCTTGTCTATTATATTTATGATGATATGAATAGAAGTATAAAGAAGTATTATGATATACTCATTACGCATGGCCTCTAAGCTATCTGGCTGTAAAGTTCCGTAGGAGCGCAACCTACCCAAAATTTCTTTCATGCAACGTTTGAGGATCTTATTATCATCCTGAATTTCATATGTGGGAGGGAAGAAGAGTGGTATAGAATCTATTCCATCAGAGTTATACCCATATTCCGCTAACATTTCACTTAAGCTAAATGTTTTCTTTGAGGGTCTTAGCCTCTTTTGCAAGTCTCATAGCAGGGCCACTTTTTAAACCATAACTACAAAATTTTTCTTTGGTCATGTCAAGAAAGTCTTGACCAGTAATTTCTTCATTACGAAGAATATTGAAATGCTTTTCCTCAAGCTTGAGGTTCTGCTCTTTCAAATAATCAATAGGGTATCTGTATCCCAGTTCTCGATGAAGTAAGAATCGTATTCAGCTGTTGAGGTAGACATAGTACTTTTTATATTATTAGACTCAGACAAAAAAATAGTGTTACGTTCTGAAGTGAGATAAAAGTTTATTTCTGGAAAAAGGTTAAGCGTTAATATAGGTTTTATATCGCACAGTCATTGCATCATTATACATGATCCATTTCTCATATACGTTCTATAAAATAATACTTTATTTATGAAATAAAATAGTTACTGGTAGCTGGTCTACAATACATAAAAATTGGCTGTTAAGGCTCTTCACACAACTATATCACTACATGATACTGTGAATTTATTAATGGAAATATACAGTGATATGAAAGAATTCTGCCTAAGGTTGTTGACCAAAAAATTTAGAAATCAGTTCCTGCAGTTCCATTTTCTTTTCTTAAATACTTCCAGGATGAATTTGATAAATGCTTAATTTGACATTTAGCCCCAATCTGCCTCTAATTGCATTTATAAGAATCCTGACCGGTTGACTTGTTCTAATTGTAATCGTTTGGTATACCACATTATATTAGACATTATTAAAATCCCCCACCGAAACGATAAGACAATTGAGAGTAATATTGGTCATCTTGCTTTCCTAAATGCAAGAGCCTATGGTGAGAAAAAACTTGCTCTCATACATACTTAACTTCTGGCATATACATACCTTAAATTTTTTGCGAGAAAGTTGGCTGAACTTCCACATACCATTGCATGCTTTATATCTTGCTGGAAAAAAGTTAAAGAGATATGAGGCATGATTAGTATTGTCGTCTGATGCCAAAAGTTCTATGAAAGCATATGTAAACAGAACTCTCATACCTTTTCACATAGAGATCTATCAGAAAGACATATAGTTGGTTTTACGCCTAACGATCTCAAATTGCATGTCCCTTAGCCTTTCATAACATATGCTTTTGTCAGCACTATTTACTTTTAGGATAGGTCCTGTATTATATGTAGACTTCCTTTCACATTTTTCTTTATTTGTTCAGGAAAAAATATAGAGGTAGTTAGCATATACATGTATAGAAAATTATTATGTCGCACAACCTGTCTGACAATCCACTTATTTTTCTGTCATACAGGAGTGGCCCAGCAAATTCTTCTAAGCTGATGATCAGTATTCCAGACTCGGTCCTTAAGGCGTTTTGCTAAATTTTCTGCATTAAATATATCCCGAAATACTTAATCAGTTACATAAAGAGTTTTTATATAAGAAGAAGGATATAATAGCTATTCAAGAAAAACTCAGTATTAGAAACAATGCAAATTGAATGGCAGTGCATCAAAGCAAGAAAGCGAAAACACTTGCTGATTCATATAAGCTGTTGTTAGAATTGGTAGGGGATTTAATGCTGATACAGGAGAATCTCAACATCGATCGTAATCTTATTCTAGAAGTAGAATATCAAAGCAATAAAGCTTCTACAGATATTTCATTGAAGGAGATATTTAATTTGCTTATGTATTTAGAAAAGGATATAATAGCAATTCAGTTAATATTGTTGGCTACATTAATCAAGAAATGGCAGAAGAGGCTGATAAATCTGCAAGAGAATATCTTCAAAAGTTTGAAAAATTTCACAGCCCTTTAGAAGATGTTCTAAGTGTATTAATACAGAAATTCATTGATAGGAGAGTAAAAATGTTTTACTTTATCAGAGAGGAACTACCATTATTTCTGAAGGTCTTTCCTTCACAATTGTACGAAATATTCATCAAAAATCCAGCTAGCATCGATCAATACCTATGTCTAGAACAAGTTAGTTAATCTATATTTTTTTGTCGTATAATCTGTGGCTCAGCAAATTCTTCTGAGCTGACGATTACTACTTTGATAAGTAAAGGTATTTTAGGTTAGAATATGAATGAGCAATTTCTCTGATAGCTAAATTACCAATCATATCACAATTATTAAAATCAAGGCATTTGAGTTTAAGGCATGAATATGCAATAACATGAACACTAAAATTGATAATACTACAGCCACTTATACTAAAGTCTTCTAATTTATAATATGATTTCGCTATTTGTTCGACAGCAGTATCGGTAATCCCTTCACAATTCATCAGTTCTAGAAATATGAGGTTTCAGTATAAACATGTAACAATACATATAGTAGCATTACTGATCATAAGGAAAATTCCAAGATTAAGATGTTGTAAATTAGAATATGCATATGCAATTTTTCTAATGACCTTATCATTAATATAATCACATTCAAAGAGATCTAGATACACTATATTTAAGCATGAGCTTATTAATCCATCTATTTTCTCATCTGTTATTAAATGATTGTGAGATACGTAAACAATTAATTTCCTTACATTTAATCTGTGAAATAGTTTTAAGTTTCTGCAAATATGAAAAAACTTTATTTGCTATAAACATTCTAATTCGATATACTCCCACAGTATTTATCCTGTAGTGTAATACCAGAATCAGTTAACAAATAAGATGGAATAAAGAGCCTTATTAGCTGATAAAAAATTTAGGATTGGTATTAGTATTTCGACCAAATTTAATGAATTAGTCATCCTTCTTCCAAAAATTATTTAATGTTATATTGCGAATGCAAAGGCTTAATTTATTAATATAGGGATAAAAATAGTCATTAAGATGCTTCGCAAGATTACGTGAGCATATATCCAATTGATTATCACTGGCAAAAAAATCTTCTGAGTCGATAATTACCACTCTGGACTAGTTAGATCGGTAGAGTACCAGCCTTTTACACCTTCAAACAACGATACTATCAAACCAGAAATTGAAAATATTATTACAAACGTTATATCGACGGACAATAACGAACCTTTATTTGAACAAAAACTGATAATAATATTCCCTCTAACGAAGTGCTCTTGGAAATAGATATTGATACTACTTATACTAACACTTCTTTCCAGACTTCCCTTCCAAAACAACCGCCAATGACTCTATGCATGCCCAACCTAAAAGTAATAACATGTTTGAAGATACAGGTTTCGACTCTTTACTTTCTTCCGTCAACAAAGAGAAACAAAAACAAACTTGGTCTAAAGAACTTAAACAAAATAAAGGATCACATGACTAAGAAAATCAAGAGGCTTCATATAACATCATTACTGCTTCTATGCGCTTTTTTCTGACAGATAACACATCATACATAAAGGCAAAACTATAGCTG